CGCACACACCTCACACACAGAAATCCCTGCCCAGCTCACAACCTTCTGGTACACAGCTTTGGAAAGTGCAACTGGCTTGCTCGGCTTGGAGAATGAGGAGGAAGAGGATGGAATCCCTCACTCCGAGTCGATCAAGCTGGCTGGTTCTGTTTCAGGGCTTGGTGACTTCGAGATTCGGATCGAAGAGCCGCTTTCTGAATCCGGAAACTCGAACGTCGAAGGAAATCAGCACTTGGGCGAAGGGCGTCACGCAAGTGACTTCCAAGATACCATTGGAAAGACCCACTTTGTTGGAAGGAAGTTGAGAACCGACCAGACCTGGCGAGGCAAAGGTGAGCGTTGCATCTCTTTGGGCTTTCAACTTCTTTGAAGTCTTCCCACTCCTTACTTACACTGGCACCTCTCGTCTTTTTCCTACCATAAGATGTAATCATCAGCGAGATCAATGAAGTTCTGAGGTCTACCTTAGAAAGATACGGCCAGGAGAACATGCCTGCCCCAGGGCTGGCCATGACCCTACCTGACGAGGTTGCAAGCGCGTCCAACTTCTACGCGATCCAGAAGACCTTCACCGGCAACTTCACTTTCGACATCTTCTTCGATTCTTCCACGACGCCAAGAGCCGAACGTCTCTCTTCTTCCGGGCTCACTCAGGGGCTGAAAGCGTCCAGAAAAGCTTTCGATGAGAGGTTTGAGTCGGCCTTGCCCCTCCACAGTCGTGGTTACACGGAAAAGCCGATCGAATTCGCACGCGAACTCACCTCGAGTCTGATGGGTGGGATCGGATTCTTCTCTGGCCAAGGGATTGTCGATCGATCTTTTGCTCATGAATACGATGTTCCGGTTGGAAGCGGAGAGTTGGATTTTGAAAGAAAGTCAGAACCTGATCCGAGGCTCACCGAGTCCGAATCTCTTTTCACCGCAACGCCAAGCAGGAGCATGTTTCCACGAGGTTTCTATTGGGATGAAGGTTTCCACTTGGCCCACATCGGAGCTTTCGACAACGACATGAGCCTAGAGATCCTTGAGAGTTGGATCCGCCTGATCGACGAGGATGGCTGGGTTGGTAGGGAGCAGATCCTTGGGGAGGAGGCAAGAAGCAGAGTCCCCAAGGAATTTCAGACCCAGTACCCGTTGTATGCCAATCCACCCACCTTGATCATGGCAGTCACTTCCTTTATCGAAAGGCTCAAAGCCAAAAGCGGGCTTTCAGACGCTTTCGACGCTTCCGACCAGCAGCACATCTTCTCCGACTCTGCAGACATCAGCGACCCGCAAGTCATGTCACAAAGGTTCCTAGAATCCCCTGCGCTGGCCCAGTCTTTTCTTCGCAGCATCTACTCTCCTCTAAAGTCTCACTATCAGTGGTTCCGGAGGACACAGAGGGGAGAGATCAAGGAATGGGACAGGCATGCAGCTTCTCGGGGGGAAGCCTACCGATGGAGGGGGAGAACCAAAGATCACGTCCTCACGAGCGGCCTGGATGATTACCCTCGGGCTGAGGTCCCCCATACTGGAGAGCTTCACCTCGACCTGATGTCTTGGATGGGGAGCTTTGCCAGCACTATGCAAAAGATCGCGTCGGCGCTTGGGGAGGAGGATGACGCGGAAGAATTCCAGAGCCACTACGATGGTATCGTGGCCAACCTCGACGGTGAGTTTGGAGCTTTCCATCCCCGCATTTGAAAATCTGTAATCCTGACGTGTGATCTCACTTGTTTCCATACCACCATAGACCTTCACTGGAGCGAGGAGAACCAAATGTATTGTGACGCTTCGGTCGACAAAGATGGTGAGATACTCATAAGGGTTCATAGACGAGGGACATCACTTGTGAATTCTCAAATCCACTCTCTCACTTTCTTTCTCCCATTTCGTCTTCCCACTACAGACCAATCCTATCATGTCTGCCGTAAGGGCTACATTAGCCTCTTCCCGTTCCTCCTCGAGCTAGTCCCTTCCGACAGTCCACGCCTCGGTTCCATCCTCGACTTGCTCAGCGACCCAAATGAGCTTTGGTCCGATTACGGAATAAGGAGCCTGAGCATCAAAGAACCTCTCTTTGGCCAGGGAGAGAATTACTGGAGGGGACCGATCTGGGTTCAGATGAACTACATGGCTTTGGGTGCTCTTCACAGGGTGAGTCGCGACCCCGAACGCTCCTCTCCTCTTCTCTCGATGTTTCCCGCTTCTCAACCTACGGGTAGTGGCTGATGTCCTTCTGGGAAAAATAAAATAAAATAAAAATAAACTCTGGGAAACCGCCGTAACTTCACGGTCAACAACCCCCTTTCTCATCTGAACAACTCCAACCTTGATCATCTCGAAGAAATACGCCGCCCAACCTGGTCCCTACCAAGCCAAGGCGCGAAAAATCTACGACAGCTTGAGGAGTAATGTTGTCCGCAATGTCCAAAAGGTGCGTGTGGGAAGGAAAGACAGGAAGAGAGAGCGATTCCCCAAGCTTGGCGAACCTCAACGACTGGGATTGAGATTGAGCGGAATCGCAAGAGGACTGATCTTCGTTCCTACTCTCCCGGAGGGGTTTCTTTCCCCACTTCGTGCCTTCCTTCAATCCTCCTTTCTCCCCCCCCCCCCCTCCCTTCTTTCTCCAGGAGTACGAACGAACTGGCTTCACCTGGGAGCAGTACAACCCTACCGATGGCCGAGGTCAAAGGAGCCATCCTTTCACGGGATGGACTTCAACGGTCGCTCTGATCATGGCTGAAATGTACTAGACTTTTCGCTCTACCTAGGGTAGTGCTTGGAATGATGAATGGGAAAAAATGGAAAGGAAGAAGAGAAGGAAACCCCCCTCCCCGTTCCAAGTATCTTTCTAACAAATTTCTCTCAGTTTGTTGCGCATTTCCATCGATGTTTGGCATCAACCCTGTAGACCATCACGGAGAAAGGGAAACAGAAAGCGCGACACGTGATCAAAAAAAAAATCTTCATTGGAATAAAAAGGACAACAAATGAGTATTCTGATCCCTACCTGAATCGAACAGATAATCTTCCGGAAGTTCCAAGGCCTAATGTGATGCCCTCGAACTGGAATCGGACGCCTTGCCATTTGGCCAAGGGATCTCGGTGGCATACCGGCAGCTTGATCAGCATATAATTTTGATTACTGTGTTGTGAACAATACAGTTTCTAAAAGTTAAACGACAAAATCACAAAAATGACTTCTAAGCTCCTTTTTTTAACCAGCCACTCTGTTCCTTTAAGGATGTTACCTTAAGAGTGGGCTGTAGGAGAAGTTTTATTTTATGATAATTAAAATAAAAAATGCTGATATGAAGAAAAAAGTGTGATCCCTACCTGAATCGAACAGATAATCTTCCGGAAGCACATCTCAATCACTTGCGAGAGAGAAGGAGCTGGAATCGGACGCCTTACCATTTGGCCAAGGGATCAGCCGATGTTAGAATGCAAGAGAAAGCCATATATGTTTTGTGAAGAATGCTGATGAAATTTCCCTCACCACAAACCATCCTCATCCATGCATGCCATTTCAGAAAAGTTGAGTACACATCATACCGTCAAGTGGCGGGTTGGAAATTCTGTCTACGAAAATCTACACTTGGATCTATGGTTTATGGGATCCTTTAGACTTCGACGTCGACGATCACAGGCCTGCGCGGGAAAGGCGAAAGAAGAAAAAAAGAATAAAGAAAAAGGTAGATCAATTAGGGAGGAGGGATCTGGGTGACAGAGAAAGTGGGGAGGGAATAGTCGACTCACTTGTTGATTACCTTGTACACGACTTAGGAGCGTGAGTATGGGAAGGGGGGGGGAAGAAGGAGATCGAGTCGATGTAAGATATTAGTACCTACCATTGGCAGATCTGCTGTGTTGAGGGTGAGGAAAGGAAAAGGATGACGGGGGCGGGGGGGATAGGTAAGGAAGTAAAAAAAAAAAGAGAAAATTTGCTGAACCCACAAATTCTCGAGTTTTCCCAAGCCTCCTGGTCATACTCCACGAGGGCGGCGTTCACGAAGAGAGTCGAGGTGTCATTTCGACCGTCTCGATCGAAAGACTCGGTGTGGACGCCTCTCGCCTCGTGGATATGGCCAAAAGCATGGATGGCCGGGGTGATCTCTCCCTCCCTCAACTTTCGAGTCAACTCCTCGCAGCCTACTTGGCGGCCGTCGTGGATCACATCCAAGCCTCCTATCGCGTGTGGAGGACCATGGGTGAGGAGGATGTCGATGTCGGACGGTATTCCACTCAACACCTCTGGTTTCGATGGGAAAGCGCACAGAGGGTGCGGGAAAGCGGTCGAATCAACCAATCATCCATCGTGTCGGATTCGTTCAGCCAGATCTGTTCAAGGAAATTCGATGGACATGCCACACACCTTTAGCCTGGATGGGAAAGAGAAAGCAAAGTCTGTCAAAAACCAGAGAACTCCTTTCACTTTCTTTTCATCTTCAGGAACTTGGGGATCCCACCTACCATTTCTCCACGACCGTAGTTCCAAGCCCAGTTTTCAAACTCTGGGGTCCACTGTCCTCGAAAAAGTTTCCACGAGTTTTCGACAGATTAGCGAAAGGGTTGTGATCAGTTGTAGAACGCAGACGAGAAAGGGACCGCCTCGAGTCAGAACCAAGAAGAAGACTTTTCACGCACAGGTGATCCAAACACCTTCCATTTCCTCTGAGAGACACCGGGCCTGTTGACAAAGAACTCGAAGGACTGGTTTTCCAGGTAGACGAAGTGAGGAGGCTCAGATTGGAGGAACTTCTTCACCCGTTCAGTATCCGAGATGGGCTTGTTGAACATGGAGTGAAGCTCGACCCCTCTCGATTCATACCATCCCTTGACGTTGCAAGCGGCGAAATCATGATTTCCTGCAATGATGATCTTTATCGGATGGGGAAGGGATCTTGTTTTCGTTTTTCCGTTTTTTTTTCGGGGGGGGG